GTCCACAGACCGGGGTTTGGGGAACTCTGTCCTAGTGATTAAATTCTACAATAAATAAATATATTGACAATTCCATCGCCCCTCCTTTTTGATAATTCATATTGAGCATAAACACACACACACAAAAGTTGGAGGCGTTGCCTTTATTTAAGGAAAAAAGCAACTGTTTGATGCAACTGATGGGCTGGAGTGGTGGGACAGGATGCGGAGAGGGGGGCTGGTATCCACTTCACATGTCTAGTCTTGATTCTGCTGAGTATATTCCAGTATCATATAATAAGACAGCATTATTTTAATTATTTCTTACATTTATATTTAAGATCAGTTTCTAATTTTGCTACTATGTCGCCTAGGGAATGTTTAAATAACATTTAGCTCAATTGAAAAAAAGTAAAAATGATACTCATTAGGCGAATCAGGTTTTCTATGGGGTGTTTCACTGCAGCATCAAAGCCTTCCAAACGTAAAAGTCACTTAATTTTGCCCAATCAAGAAAAAAACCAAACATTTGCCCTTGAATTGTTGATACTGAGCAGGACTGAATTGTATGCAGCCAGCTAATGGGGCCTTTCATCAGACCCATAAGCAGCACCTTTGATTTCCCAATTTCGGCCTTGTAAAATGAGCCCATAAGGAGTGATTTCAGAAGGTGAAAGATCAGGCCCCTCCATCCACAAAATATTTATCTTTGCCCTGGAATCAAATTCAAACACACATGCCGAAAATCTTCCTCTAACGATGATGTTACTTAGTTTGGTAAGGAAACATCTGAACGAAAATAGCCAAGCTTGGAGAGCGCCAAGGACGCCCAGTTCAACCCCGAGCTTCTTTTCTCCCTTCCTCTAAGCAGACCTTCTTCTGTGGGAACCCTGGTCCCTTAACAGAAGCTCCCCGCTCAAAGTGCCCTTTCAGAACCCAGCAAAGCTGAAGGTTGTCATGGAATTTGGCCCCAGTGATCAGTCTCCAGCCCTCCTTCTCTGACAGCAACGAGCGGCGGGGGGTGGGGGCGGAGGCGGGGGGCATGCTTTTGGGGAGGGAGTCCCTTCTGCAGGCGGAGGAAAATGGGCTGAGCACTCAGCCAGCCCCCCTCCCCCGTCGCGCCGCTGCTCTTCTGCCCGCCGATCGGCGCAGTGTGGCACCTCTGCAGCGCGCTGGAGAGCCAGCTGGCGGCGGTCTAGTTCGGGAGCGAAGCCGTCGGGGGACTCCACTCTCCGGCTGGGCACCTTCTTCCCGCACTCCTTGGCGAACTTTCCGCCTGGCAGATGCCCCGCCGCCGCCTCCTGACCGATTCCGCTGTCCGGCGCCCAGACCGCACGACCTCGCGGGATTCCCGAGCCCCCGTCCCCGCTGGAGCACCACGCGAAACGGCCCCGCGAGCGGCGGCGCCCCTCCTCGGGCATCCCAGCGAGTGGCGCGGTCTTACCTGGCCCGACGGCAGTGGCAGCGCTCCCTCCGAAGGCGCACCACGGCCAGGCGTGCAGCGGCCCCGCGCACAGGGCGCTCTCGGAGGCCAGGGTGGAGCGCATGGCGGGCGGTACCGGCGCGCTGAGCCTGCTCGGCTGTTGGCTCTGCCGGGCGCCCCGTCCTCTGGCCGCCTCCCGTCGAGGTCGGGGCGCTCCTCGACACCGAGCAGCAAGAGCGCGTCGCCTCTGCCCAAGCAGCCACTGGCCAATGCCGCCCGGCCCCCGCTATTTATGGCGCCGCCCGCGAAGCCGGCATCGGCGGCCAGTCGGCGCGCCGCAAGCGGACGGCCAGGGGGCGGAAGCGAGCTAGCCCCTCCCAGGCCTGCCGGGCCAGGGACCCCCGCCACCCCTGCTCCCTGGACGGCCGGAGCCGCGCCCTGGCCAGCTTTGCCCTCGGATCCGGCACGCGGAGCCCTCTCCCGGCTGGGCTGGCGGAGGGCGAGGGGCGCGCGGGTGGCATGTGCCTGACCCGTGGCTTCCGAGCTCGCCCGCTGCTCCGTGGCGAAGGCATCCGGTCTCTCTAGCCCCAAACCGGTTTTTCAGCCCCCCCTCCCTCCCCAGCCCTTTTTGGGGGTCTGCCCTTTCGCAGCAGAGGCAGCCTGGCCGCTCCGACCTTGGTCCGGGAAACCAAACTCTGCAGGACCCCTTCAGCCACCACGTTCATCTCCCCCATCAATCTCGGCTTACCAAGCTGGCCTTAAAAACAGTGCTTGCATTAGGCCTAGAGACACTCTAGTCTCCATTACACCTGGGGCTACTTGTTCTATTTGGGTTACAAAAATCTGCCTATTAAAATCGTTCAAATCACTTTTTCAAAAACTCTTCCAGGCAAAATGCATGCATGCCTGTGGATACCAGATCCTTCAAGAAGCTGTTAGAGAAGGGGAGTGAGGACAGCAGGGGGGAATCACTTGTTGCTCAGCCGATGATGGAGGGCAGCAAGCAGGTCAGAAAGCACCAGAGTCTGTTTCTCAGGCAGGTGGATCCTACTCAGGGTTTTTGGTTTACTCTGTAAATCCCTCAGGGCAAGTATGCAGATCTACCCAGAAGGACTAAAGGCTCGGACACTGTACACGCTTATTGCACAAGAGGCCACACTTGATACAGCAGGACGCACTTCTGAGTAAACATCCTTATTTTCCCATAGCAGCTTTACACCTGTTAGACCAGTACTGGGGTGGGGAGAGGGGGACTCCAAAACAAAACAGCAGAGGCTCCCGAAACCTCCAGCTGGGCAGTGCAGAGGGTCTGGTGCCGCTTTGGGCTTTGCTCCAAAAGAGCTGCTCTGAAGGGCCTTTGACCCAGTCTCCATCCTTGTGGGTTTTGACTTTCCCTTGTAGAAAAGTTCATTTCTAAGGGGGGGGGGAGGTTAAGCCTTCAGGGAGGGGTCGCTGTGTCTACCAGTTTCCCCCGTAGCACTAAAGGTGACAGAACCCTCTTTAGAACTTCCTTTGGCACAGACGTGGGAATAGGACTCCCAGGAACCAGGAGTGCCAACAGAGCCTCTATTAGCCTCATCAGACGGTCTGCTTAATCTCCCCCAACTGGCTGCTGAGCTCAGTGGGATTCAAGGTTGCCTCCCCTTTGTCCCCGCTCATCTTGCACTCCCTTTCTGTTCCCGACTCAGTTAATTTGCCTCAACATGAGGCGGCCTGGCCTTGCCCGGTTCTGGAGTGGGTTTGCACTTTCCAATCTAGCTGGCAGCTTTTCCTGGTGATTTCTTACCCAGAGTTATCAGGAGGTAAGATGGGCAGCCTATAAATTATGTAAATAAATAAATAAATTTCCCATCCTGGTTCATCTTAGTTTCCAGAGGTCAGCCAAGTTTGTGGCTCTGAGAAAGAGCCATCCAAACTGCACCCCAAGTGCTGTATGGCCCCTTTTGCTTTGAACCTCTTCTTGTGCAAGGACTGACCAGTGCAAAACCACGGGAGACCCCATGTTGGCCCACTATAGAGGCCGGTCAAGAGTCCATTGACTGCTGGTCTCTCAAACTGGCCATGGCCGCTTAGCATTTGCAGAAGAGAAGGTGCTTCTTCAGTCTCCAGTTCTTTCCCTACCCAGCAGGAGATGCCAAGGATCTCATACCCAAAATGGATGTTCCTTACTGGGGGTTGCTGGGGAGGGGAGGGGAGAGGAGAGGCACTCCTGCAGGGTGCAAAGTCAGGCAGTGCTGATGTCTATGGAGATGGAAGGACTTTCCAGAAACTGAAAGAATTTGGCAGGCTTAGTATAAAGCGTGTCCTGTCCTAACAGCGACCCAGTTCTGACTGCCACTCATCTGCAGTTAAGGCTAGAGCATCCATCCTCCGGCCTGGGGAGAGAGAGCACTGAAGACCAATGCAGAGGCCTCAGGAATTGGCTGGCTAGGGGAGAATGGATCTGCTACTGAATTGCTGCCAAATCCATTTGCTTAATTGACTCCTACTGCTCTATATTTGGACTCTCAACCAACCAGCTTGGCCCCATATCTGATTTTAAGAGTGCCAAGCGAAGGGGTCTGCCCAAGGGAGCTAAGGCGGCACCCTTCTGGTAGAGGCTCAGGGTGCCTTAAGTTTCCACAGGTTTTGCTCCCTGTGTGGCTTTTCTCCAGACAGATAAGCCTGCTGAAGCCCATCCCTTTCTCAGAAACAGACAGCTGCTGCCTGTTTCCCATCATAACCCTTATTCCAGTGGGATCAGCTTCCAAGACAAGATTTGAACCCTGGATTTAGGGAAAGAGATAGACATGCAGGGACCTTGTTTCTTATCAGCCAATTTCAACAAACCCACAAGAGCAGATGCAGTCACCCCTATGGCCAATCTGGCTGCTAGTTGCATTTTTTTGCACTGACATTGCCAAATCCTTCAGGCTCTCATGTATGTATGACTGGCAGATCTTGGCTGTTAGAAAGCCAGTTTCAAAGAAGCTGGAATCATTGCAAAACAATCCAAAGCCAGGGGCTCGAGAAAGACAACTCGAGTCCAGCAAAATCCTAACCTACTGAGACCAGACAACCTGGCTAGAGAAGATGTCGAAAACGTCTGTTCAAAGTGGCCAGCCACCCCGCCAGCACTTCCTTGACAGAAGGGGCGGTTTCAGCTCAGGGCCGAAGAACCGACAGAAGTGCAGCTCAGTGGTGTGGCAAATGCTCCATGCTTTTTGTGGGAAGTGTTCCCCTCACAAGAGAAAGACCTTCATTTCACAAAACATACTGTCAACTGCTGTACTTCTTGACCTCTTGTTATGTGCCATCAAGTCAGTATCTACTCTTAGCAGCCACACAGATGTTCTGTAATGATCTGCCACCAACCTGGTCCTTCTGCCCAAAGTTAACATCTGAGACTCCAGCTAAGCCACATGAGGCCCTGGGCTTGGTGCTATGGGCTGGCCTAACTAGAATCTGGCTCAGCCCTGCCCTGCTTCTGCTGTCTTCAGCTCAGGGCTATAGTCCTACACTGATGGAGAAGCCAAAAGCTCCCCTCCCCTCTATAGGCAAAGATACACAAACAGCAGAAGGACCACCTGGTCAGCTGGGCACATCAAGGAAATTAATCTGGCTGGTCCAGAGAGATTTTTATTACAGAATAGGCATACAATGAAACAGGACTATGTAAACCAAAACACAATTAAAATTATATACTTAATTTAACCATTTGAAAATCCAAGTATAGGAGAAGCTTACAGAAAATCCTCCCAAGCAAGTCCCATTGGCAGATGCCAGTGGGATCATTTTTTGTAGGAAACCTGGCTACACACTGGCTGCTGACAGTGCTTGATAAGACAAGCTGGAATAAGCAGTGACTGCCACTCTACAACATCAGAACCATTTAAATGAAAATGACTTGTAGCAGATGCCTGAAAAAGCATATTGCAGTGGAATGACAGTTCCTGGAGTTTACAGCAAAGATGATGGTTTTCCTAGATCCCTGCTTGGCTTTGCAGGTAGCAGAGGCACTAAACTGATAAAAGTGAAAGACGTCTGGAAGCCATCAGAAATTAGAAAACATCTACAGCTGTCAATGGAGTGAGGTGGGTGCAGATAACTCCTACAGATTCAAGTCAGGAGGACTTGCCATCCATTATGTAGTAGCGATACATCAAGCCCAGAACCAAGGCTCCCAGGATAGGGATCAGCCAGACCGTCCAGATGCTGAGGAACAAGGAAGAAAGAAAAGGTGTGAGCCACATTTCTGTGATTCTGGCTTTCAGAACTTCTGACTACTACATGCAAGATGAAGACGAAGGTGAAGTGTCCCCAAGGACATCTGCGTACAGTATCATCTTGGGCATAATTATCATAATCAAGTTCTAGCAACTGAAATTCAGCAAGAAGGCTGACATCTCCAGCCCAGCTTTTTCTGTTCCTCTTCAGAGTTGCAGCTGCTGTATTTCAGTTTCTTAGGCCAAATGTATTTTGGGAGAACATGGCCTTTTCTGCACAGTTCAGCCAAACTATGCGGTCACATGTTGCAGACACCATCACTCGTTACAGAATTTCCTACTTCATGGCACAGCATTATGATGGCCAGCAGTTAAAGATTGCCGAAGGAAATTCTCTAAAGTTATCAGAGAAATGTAAAACATGTTTACATTTGCATTAGTCCTATTGTATGGGTCTAATGTAAGTGCCAGCTATAAGATGCTAACTATAAGATTCCTCTCTTTGCCACCACCAGGGAGGTAGATTTTACTAGCTACACAATGCCTGGAAGCCTTCCAATTGAGGCAGGAGAACACACATTTCCACAGGCTGCTTTTAAAGCCAAAGGGAGCGCATTTCTTTGATTTACAATATTGTCAGAATACTGTACCTTGACTCATGGAATGGGCTTGGAACCTGGGGAGATAAAAGGCACATCCTTGTGTTAAGATGACAATTGCTCAAGAGAGCCAGGAAACTCTTCCCATCTTTCTCACATCCTGGGGAGAAGGGGTGTCTTAGTTTCCGTCCCTGGTCCACCTCCCCATTTATTCTGTAGGTCACCATTTCCCATCACTCTCCACAACAGGCAAAGGGGGCCTTTCTAAAGGAGAATGACAACATTTCCCAGCCCATCATAAGAACCAGATGCCTGACCTGTTCCTTCCTTCCACTTTGCTGGCTGGGGTCTGTGCCACTGTGCTCCCCCTCCCATTTTCTCCTAAGAGCAACCTTGCGTTCAGCTTGGTTCTAAGAGCTTGGCCTTGTTCAGAATCGGAGAGGAAAGAAGATAAAGAGGGTTAACATGCCTTGTCCAGAGATGACTAAAGGAAGGAGTGGTCTGAGCAACAAAGAAAAGTTTCAAAAGACAGTGCTGTAAGCTGTTAATGAGTCCCTTACTGACCCTCCTGCAAATGCAGCGCCTTCTGAGGCGGCCTGCCCAAAACAGCATGGCTGTTCACAGGCAAAATTTCTAAGCCAGGTGTGAAGAAAAGCTAACTGTCAGGTTACACCCAACTCCCCAATGGGACTCAGTTTAGCTCAACTTTAATCCTTTCATTGATCCACGGCCCTGTCTGTCCTACCAGCTCTAAGGAGTTTATAGGAAGATCTCCTTGCACAAAGACATCAGATGCAGTAAGTTACCCAAACGGAAGCTAACCACCTGTACTGCTGCCGTCCTTGCCAGGTCAGTACAAGCAAATGGCAAGAGAAGCTGCTCTCCTCCTCTTTGATCGACAGCAGGACGATGCAAAGGGTATCCCACGGTGGGGGTGGTGAAGGAGAAGTCGGAGGGGCAGCCAGAACCTCAGAGATCGTTTCTCAGTGCAAGAATTGTTTCAATGGTTAATATCTACAGCAGTCTACAGCTCATGTCTTTATTTGCTGTGGAAAACTGTTTCCAGTTTGTCCTGTGTGTAGATGACACAGTGAATCACGTTTCAGTTATATGCAGAAAAATAAAAGCTGTGCCAGTCAAAAACAGGCTGTTTTTTCAAAGGAACACAAAAGAGCCTCTAGGAAGAATTTATCTCTTTGGGGTGTTATAACAGAGAGACATCAAAGCAAACCCCAAGATGGGACAATGGCAGCTCAGACAAAATTCCTTTCTTTTTCAGCCCAAATAATGGCTGTTTTTCTGAGAAGCTATGTGGCTTGGACCCGGACGTGTCGCTCTGCTCACACCCATCCCCCAAAATGCTAGAGAAAAACACGAAGGAAGGAGCCAGTGTCTGAATTCACCCGGTGAGTCAACAGCCTTTCACTGTAGGAAAAACTATCACGTCGGTAGGAAGAATGGAAACATAAGACGAGACCCTGTGAAAAGATGAGACGTTTCCAGAGAAGAGCAAGTCCTGAAATCCAAGCCAGACCTTGGGAAGGATAAAGGACTGATGGCGCAGAATGGCTGGATGGGGCGGATGCTAACTGGCTTCAGAAAGGGAGGTGCAGGCGACCTTCTCAGATGACTGGCCAGAAAGGCCCCAGCCGAACAAACAGAAACTCACTGCGTCAAACAAGATAATCCCACTGCCAGAGCAGTAAGACAATTAAGCCAGAGACACATTTTTGGGCTGCTATTCATCACAGATAATGGCCGTGAACAGGAGGGGAGAGAAAGAGTAAACATAGAATTTGTGAGAAAGCCAGGTTTGTATCAAAGTTGGTTTGATAAGTTTTCGTGACAAAAGCATCGTGCTGCTCAAAACTGGAGCAGAAAGCACTCCAGTTCCCTTATACCGTGTACTGCAAACCAAGCCTAAGTCTGTACTTTATGACTCCATATATGGTGCAGTCAGAAAACAAGCCAATTAGGTAACCAATTTAAGCAAGTTGTGCAAACACAGCCACTGTTTCCTTCTCCTCTTGCCTTTCTCCCCTGGGCCTGGCACAGACATCAAGTTGCTCCAAGGTTTGGCCCTTCGCAGTCACAGGCAGTGCTTTGGGCACAGGTTTTCCCCAGACTGGAAGGCACCCCCCCTAGAGACCCTGGGCCTGACGCAGCACTTGAGGGAGCCACCGTTTTCAGAAGGTGAGAAATGCCACTATAGAGCACTCTGCAGTCAGCCCTTCCAACTTCCCAGCAATCTACACCATCTTCCCCAGAGGCAAGGAAGCAAAGACACAGCAAGGGGAAGATTTATGCTGCAATTTTCAGATAGGAAAACTGTGAAGGCAGTTCAAGAGTGGAACCAATGTCCAAGGGATGTGGCAGGATATTGAAGGAGATTTCTGTCCAGCTGGAAGAGAAGCAAAAGGCGGGAAAGGCTGCCATTCAGAAGCTGGGCGTGTGGGCAGTCTCTTTGTGAAGGGCAGGTCACTTGGAAAGGCGGCAGATTCAGGAGTTGGCTGAAGCCAACCTGAGATGCCTGCCTTGCTCCCAGAAGAAGCGATCTGTCCCACATTTCCCTGGGAGCTGCTACTGGGAAGAAACATCAATAGCAGAACTAGAAGTAGGTTGTCTTTCAGTTCCATTCCTTGTTGCTAGTCCAGAAGGACAGACAGACAAAGCACCTCTGGATGGAAAGAAAGCCAAATCACTACCATGCCGTGCTTCCCGTGACAGGATATGGTCGCCTTACAAACAGCTGGCCACCAACCGAAAGTCAACCTCAGTTCTAACCAAATCCCATCTAAGGGGCCTCCAAGAGATTGCCAGCTACAGTCATGTCAAAGGCAACCTTTAAATCAATTCTGGTCTCTCCTTTTCTAATTAAAGCTGCATCATCATACCCTAAACCCCTCCCTAGGACTGGCAGGCACAACCATATATTTGAATCTCAACCTCTTCATGTTCCTGTCCCCACTGCAGGAGGTCCAATCTCAGGACTTTTTCCCTAAAAAAGGGAAAAGCATTTCTCAAAAAGCCCAAGACAGGATTCGGCACTTCTGAGTCATGCTAATGTCATTGGTTCTTGAAACTCACAGATCTGGCGTTAGCTGAACATGCAGAAAGGGAGCAAGCAGGGAGGAAGGAGGGGAGCATGCAAGAGCAGCCCTTCGATTAGGCCTGGCAAAGGAAGGAAAAACACACAAGAGAAGACTGGCTTGAGAGGGGGTTTCCTGGGCTGAGAAGAGCCTCCAGAGGATCCACAACGGATCCCAAAGTGAAGACAGGATTTGTCTGGGGAACGTCTGGCTGTTACCAAAAAGGTTGCCACAAGTGAGGGTTGTGCAAAGGGCAGCTGGACAGCCTTGCAGAAGAGGAAAAGTAAAGGCAGCCAAGGGGTCAGTTCAGCCGCCAGCCCCCTTGATTTGAGGGAGTGAGCAGAGCCCACAACAGGGATTTGGCAGGACTCGGGAGCCTTTTTCGGAGCACTGTGCTTCCCCCACAGCCCAGGCTCTCCCCACAGGTAAACTTCTCTTGTGCCTTTGAAAAAACAGGTAGGGAAGCGAGAAGACCCTGCAAAGCCCCACAGGCTGCCAAGCCAGGACGAGGCAGGACTATTTAGCCCAGTGCCCCTCTTCCCATTAAACTTCCAGCCCAGGAGACTTTATCCTTGCAGGAACAATGTCACCAAACCTCTGCTTCTCCCCCAGAATCACAGAAAGGCCCCCGCAGAAAGGGCCTTTACAGCCTCCAATATGACTCATGGGGAGGGGCTCTTGTACAAGGCTGTTTTCAGCTCTGGCCTCACCTCAGGCCCCTTGGGAGAAATCAAGGCCACCCACGGCAGCTGAAAGTGGATGACTCTCTCAGGACAAGTTTAGTGAGCTGCAAGATGGGACATCATGCTCATCCCAAGCCTTTGTTGACACGAGAGGGAGGGAGGGGCAAAATAGGACAATTACCAACTGGGCTGCAAGCTAAGCTGCTGAAAATTTTTATTCCCTTGCCTCAAAGGGCTGCACTCTGCTCACCACACGGCACTCTACCCAAAGGGAAGAGGTCACTCAGCTATTTCCACAGGAGGGCTACCCACAGCGCCAGTGACTGTACCAGAGCATACCGTGAGACCTCCTCACACGCCCTCTGCTGCAAGACCGAGCAGTCAAGAGGAACCAGGAAGTCCCGGCTCCTCCATCAAATGCCAAGTGCCTTACCCAAGGACCTCTGCCCCAGAGGACTTTCTCCTATTCTATCCCCTCAGGTGGCCCACTAAAATAAAAAGATAAAGCCCTTTCCTCTTGGAGGCTTTCAAGAGCTGGCAGTCAGAACTCTGCTGCCTCTGGACATGGGTCCAGTCTGCACAACAGGTCCCCAAGTCCCTGGGCAGTTTTCCTTCCAAGGTAGAAGGTGGTACCCCTTGCAAGACAGAAAAATGCTGCCTGTGGAAAAAACGAGTGGCTGACAACTCACGAATCAGTAGCCTCTTGCTCACTGCCTTGATCCGAAGCATTCTGCCAGCAGTATAAGGGTAGTTCTCCCCCTCCCCCTTCAGTTCCTCATACCTCCGCAGCATGCAACATCTCCATCATCTGAAAACATGTTTCTGTTCTTACAGCATTTTTGTAGGCACTGAAGGAGGCTTCCCTGCTAGAATAAAAAGGAATACACACTACCAGGACTGGGCCTTACCTTGGAAGTATCAGGTTTGCGATCATCCTGTTGAGAAAAGGGAAAGAAGGAGAGACTCTTGTTACACATCTGACGAAAACCACCCCTTCTGTCTCCTCTGAAAGAATGACTGGCCTCCTTCGTAACCCCTGGAGACGGGGACAGGCTGCTGCTAGATGAGTCAGCAGGGAGCTTGGTGGCAACTAATAATATTCTGCTGCATATAATTGAATGATTATAAAAGTAAAATACAGGAAATGAATGCAATATTAAGTCTGAATAGAATTCTGTTGTTGTTAGTTGCGAAGTCATGTCTGACCCATCGCAACCCCATGGACAACATTCCTCCAGGCCTTCCTGTCCTCTACCATCCTCTGGAGTCCATTTAAGCTCACCCCGACTGCTTCAGTGACTCCATCCAGCCACCTCATTCTCTGTCATCCCCTTCTTCTTTTGCCCTCCATCGTTCCCAGCATTAGGCTCTTCTCCAGTTAGTCCTTCCTTCTCATTAGGTGGCCAAAGTGTTTGAGTTTCCTCTTCAGGATCTGGCCTTCTAAAGAGCAGTCAGGGTTGATCTCCTCTAGGACTGACCGGTTTGATCGCCTTGCAGTCCAAGGGACTCGCAGGAATCTTCTCCAGCACCAGAGTTCAAAGGCCTCCATTCTTTGGCCTTCTCGGCCTTCCTTATGGTCCAACTTTCCTAGCCATCCATTGCAACTGGGAAAATCATAGCCTTGACTGTACGCACTTTTGTTGGCAGGGTGACATCTCTGCTTTTTAGAATGCTGTCTAGATTTGCCATAGCTTTCCTCCCCAGGAACAAGCGTCTTTTAATTTCTTGGCTGCAGTCCCCATCTGCGGTGATCTTGGAGCCCAGGAAAATAAAATCTGTCACTACCTCCATTTCTTCCCCATCTATTTGCCAGGACCGAATAGAATAAATCTATCTATATACACTTAGAAGGATCAATTCTATGTAGAAAATCTACAAAAATGCATTGAATCGAAATTACATCTTCTCTTTCCATCTAGGGTGATAACCACTGTTAAGGTCTTCGCTGCCCTGAAGAAAGAATACCACCCAGAAAATGAAATGTCTTTGGATAAGGGAAACAACCAAAGCCATCTTCTATTCATTTTTATATCCATTTTGATTGATCCATGTCACTTAGCCATTTGTTTCAGGATTCCTCTGGAGAGATGTGAGGAAGGCATCAAACCTGGCGAGTGAGACCATCCATCTCTCTTTGCTAAGCCTGACTTCACTTGCATAACCTGCTCATAACTTGCAAGGGAGACGGCCTGGCCTGCTAAACAGGAATCCTCAGATAAGCCAAGCAAAGGAAGACAGGTTCCCAGGGCCATGGAAGCACAGGGGCTCAGAAAAGGAGCTGCTCCCCAAGGAGAAAACCTTCAGTACAAGTATCACAAGGACCCCAAATTTATTTTATGAATCAGACTTTACCGGATGGACCTCTCCTATGAGATACTGCTTGAGCATTTCTTTAGCATCCATGGAGTGGCCAACATCTTCAAAGCTCTCTGTGGCATCTCTACCAGCTTGTTCAAGCAGAACCTTATCTCCACCTGGATGCTAAAAAAGGACAGAAAGTCTGAGAAAGAGGAGCAACCAGAGAAAGAACAACCCCTCTAACGGTATAAAGAACTGGCAAGCATTCAAGATTTTTCTCACTGAGGATCTAGGAATATTTTACCATAAAGTAAAACCGATTAGATGAAAGCAACAGGACCTTTTCCTAGTACACTTTTAAAGGCCTGCATTCTACTAATGCAACCTTATTGAAGTCCTAGCCCTTTCAATTACACAGAAACTCTGAGGTAAATAAACATGTTGTGTGTCATGTCCTTTCTGGGAACTAGCTTAAGGAAACCCATCGGCCAAGGGATGATGGCTTTTCCTTGGCTGATGGGAACTATGTTAAGGTGCCTCCATCAGCCAAGCAGCTAGATAGATACTGTCAATATTGCAAATATAGACTGTATGGTTTTCTCCAGGCATCTAAACTTGCCCACCCGTCTGTCTACAGAAATATGGCCAGAACAAAGGATTTGGGGAACTGCAATTCAGTCATGTAGACATGACTTCCCATGCAGTTCTGGTTACTCCGGAAGGAGTTTGTTCTTATCTCTGGCCAGCATACCAGCATATCTCTAACTGGTATGTTGAACACACTTCTCTGTTTCAAGAAATTTGCAAGACTTCTATGGCGTATTCTTGCCCCTAATATTTTGAGGGTGACAACAGTTCTTTATTCTGCTTTGGACTTAGCTGCTCAAGATTCTTCATTGCTCCCAAGATGCTGGATGCCAGCAGGGGCTTTGGCAAGCAGGTTGTCAGGCTGCCAGCTGTGCACCACCAAGCAAAAGTGGAAGGGAAAGTCTTCTGCTCTGCTGGCCAAATGCCCAGCATTAATCCTGGCTGGTTCCCTCAGGAAGATGGCAGGGATGGCATCCCTGTGGCTGAACTGAGGTTGATAACGGCAGGGCAGCAGGACAACTGGCCTAGTATGCTGAGAAGGCTACTTATATGATCTTTCCAATTGATGTTTGGCTTCCTGCTTCTGCCCCCCCCTCCCCCACTGCCCCCAGGGAGCAGATGCCATCAGCTGACAGCAGTACAGAAGCCAGACAACTTGTCGGGTCAGTGAGTGCAAAGCGGGCAAAACATGCCCGGACACACCCTCAGCACACTGCAAGGAACCCTGTGGTGGATTTTGCTCCCAGGGTAAAACTCCTCCAAGGGTGAGGTGGGGAGCAGAGGTTAAGGGAATAATCTCTCATTGACGTCATTAGTTTCCCCCTGTGGCAGATTTCACATTTTTACCCAGAGAAATACAAAAAGTAGTGTGGACATAGGGGGAAGCAAGAAGACATCGACAACAGTCAATAAGGGCTCCATTTGCACCCTTTGCAATTGACCACCCTTCTTCCCTTTGCTTCTCTGGCCTCTAAAGTGAAAGGTACTTATCCCAAGACATTCAATAGACTCCTTTGCATTGCTCAGATTAGGCAATGACAAACTGTTGGCCTAATTTATTCATTTACATGATTCAGTTTTGGTGCCATCAAACTCTGGGCAGCTCACAATATAAGTTGACCTTGAGTTTCTTAAGTTAACTTCCAGTTCACTGGAGGAGGCCAGGATGTCACAAGGACTTCTATTCTTGGCACCTCCTTACAGGCTGTTGTTCCCGATGCCTTAAATAATCCATCCAGCTCAACAAGAAGCATAATCGGATGTACAAAAAAGATTGAGAAATTGGATTAATCAAGAGCCAAGGGATATTTCAGGCAGCGTAATAATGTTCCACTAGCATGCTGAGGTGGGGACAACCTTACAACCACTTAGGAGTGGCGAAGGCTCCAGAGCCAGCACCCAGAGCACTACCGGATCAAGTTAGCTTCTCCCTTCTCTGACCTCTGCCCTGCAAATATTCTAAACTCTCGCTTTGGATCACAGGGGCTGAGCACCTCCCTGGGCACCCTCCTGAGGACAACTACGATACCCTCTTGACTGAGAGCTGACTGGCAGCGACGTTATATTATCCTCAGCATTATTTAACTATTTATTTACTAAGGTAAATAAATAACAAATTTACCTTAGTAAATACTCAACACACACACATCAGTAAAAGAGGAAGTGAAGATGATGATTTGAAGCAAAATGTGCTGATTAGGTGGCTCTACCATTTGAGCAATCTGTGGACTGTTATGATAATTTTATTATGGTTTCACCTTGTGATTAGTTGTTTTCATGCCTGTAATATATTCAGACAAGAAGAAAGTTGAAGACATTCCTACAAAGAAAGAAATAAAACAAGGAGCTCTTGTGTCATTTAGGATGTCGGTTCTATTGCTCTCCTTCCTTCAAGTGACTGCACTACCAGTCCTGGCTTGAACCTTCCGCTATACAGAATTTGCTGATGTTCAACGATATGACTTTAAATATAAGAAAGCCCCCCCCCCCCCCACCTCCCGAAGGCCTGCCTGGCATCTGCTTGCGGAAGGGCCGTTCAGCCAGCCAGGCCGCTGCGGGAGCCATAGAAACGGATCTCCCGGCACAGCGCCCCCCCACTCCCCTCCGCTCCAAGGCGCCGGCGGTCCTCCGCGTCTCAGGAGCGCGGCCCGCTCACTCGCCAAGCCGGCAAGTCGCCTCCTTTGCCTCCGGCCGCCGTCGCGCCCCCCACCTCGTCGAGGAAGCGGGTGACGTCATAGACGCGGTCGTGGATGACCAGCCAGGCCTCCCGGTCGCTGCTGCGCTTCGCCACTTCGGCCAAGGTGAAGAACGGGCCGGCCTCCGGCCTTGCGCCGCCGCGCTCTCCGGCCGTCCCCATCCCCGCCTCCCGCCTCGCCGCTCTCGCCCACGCGCGCGGGCCGCCGCCTGCCCTTCCGACTCGGCCAATAGCAGCCGCGCGCGCGCGCCGAGGCAGCCAATCAGGCGCCAACGAACGGGCCTTCCGGAAGCCGTAACGCGCCATGTTTTTTGGAGAGCGGCCGTCGAGAAACAATATAAACAATATCTATGAATATCCTAATCATCGGTTACAGCTCCCTACATATATATGCTTTGCCTTATTGGGCGCTGTCCAGGTTTGCCTCCAGTGAGATTGGGGAGCTATGTAAATTAATATCTACATTACATTTTATCCCACCTTTTAAAATGAATAGAATAGAATAGAATAGAATAGAATAGAATAGAATAGAATAGAATAGAATAGAATAGAATAGAATTCTTTATTGGCCAAGTGTCATTGGACACACAATGATTTCGTCTTTGGTGCATATGCTCTCAGTGTACATAAAAGGACAAGATACAGTCGTCAACAATCACAAGGCACAACACCCATTAACTCAAGGTGGCGAACATCTGCTTCCCATTTTCCCCACAACCACCTGATGCAGAGAACTGAGCTAAGCGAGTGACTGGCCATTTTCATGGTGAAGGGAAGCCTAGAACTCAAAAGTTTGAGGCCAGCAATTTCACCACTATACCAAACTGGCTCTCCAGCTGGGCAGGAGCAAATATGAATTAGCCTGCCAAATTATCCTTATTTTTGAAAATGTGCTGGTGACCTAAAAGCCTGGATCTTAACGTTCTGCACGTGCCCGCTTTTTATTAAGCACAAAGGATAGGAAAGAAAGGCCCAGTGGGCTTATATATGAGAAGTATATATATGAACCATGCAGTATATTCAATTGTAAAAAATTGTCTTATTACTCCCCAGGGACAGTCTTGCTTTCCTGTTCTTTGTTTAGTCAGTCATGGGAAATATTTTCGGGTGGGGGACAGCCTGTGTGGAAAGCCATCATTTTCACAGGAAATGTGCGCTTCTCTTTATTTTCCAGTCAAGCGAGTTTGGCCACATGAGCTGGAGGCTAGCCCAGCAGCTTCTTCATTTATTTACCATCAAGTTACAGAGAGTTGGAATGGGGTGGAGATAACGATAGGCCAGAGATACACAATCACAATGCAGACCTATCTGTGTGGTGGCTCCATCTTATCTGAGGTAATAAAAACCAAAAAATGTAGGTAGGGTAGATTGGTCACTCCCTTCGTTTGTTGAAAGGTGACACAAACGTTACCTTGAGCTTCTGAAAGCTCATTATACATGGATGGAATTGGGAGAATTGGAATAATTTATTTCCCCTTTAGACTTTCAAACAAAATGATAGTTTTGCTTTACAAGTAACTACAGTATGTATCCCTCATTTGCTGGTTCAATGCATAAACCCTTCAGATATGTATTTCAGTTGAGCGTGAATACAAATAGCTTTTTTCCCCATGTCCTCCCTCCATGACATCTGCAATGGTTTCTGGACTCCAGAGCAGCATTTCAGAAGAGGGTCTCTTAGAGCAAGGGTCCAAAAATAGTTGCCACGGGGTCTTTTCCCTACACTACAGATTTTACCAACACCCTCAGTGTGATAATGAACTATAATGTGCCAATGCATTTCAGCTGCTAAGTCCAATTATGACCTTATATCAAAGAACTGTGGCTGGTAGTATCTGGCCAAAATAATTAACATGTTTGTCTGTGTTGAGATTTACTGGAAAGTAAGCACAGTAAGAACCAGTAGTATTCAGTGTTGTGGTCAACGGTGCTGGACTAGAAAAGGCAAGACCTGAATTCTAGTCCTCCTTCAGGGACCAAACTGTTTTCAGCCTAGACTCTCAAATTAGGAAGCATCCTGAGAGTGCTGGCAACCCCCTTCCCAAATGCATGGATCAGTGCATGTAATCACCAAGAACCATGGACCATAACAGGAAGCATGAAAAGCATGGCTGATGTTCACAGGCTACTCTGATGCTGTTGGACTCCTCTGGCAAGTATATGGTGTTGTCAGTTGCTGTTACTGTAATGCCTAGAGATACGCTGCTTACTCCTTGAGCTGGTTGTAGGCTACCTTTGCCTCTCATGCCCCAGCTCCAGCCAAGTCAGTGCCTACACAAGGCCTGGCTGTGGCATCTCTGCATTTGCAAATGGCAATGAGGGGGGGAGTGGGGTGTTTGAAAATTTCCTGATTTGTGTGTGTGTGTGTGTGTGGCTTCCATCCACTTTTACAGTAACATGTGCAGAAGGCCAGGCACAAGAGACTTCTGTATGTGCAGATCTTTCTCCTGGAATGTTTTCTTTCATCTCTAATCACTGCACTGAGGCTCATAAATCAGGCAGTCAAGACAAAAAGCCAAACAAGAAGCATAATTTGCTTCTTCCTGACCCATGTTGTTTTTGGCACACGGAAACCAGAGACTTTCCCACTGACACCATGGGGGACTGTGGATGAGGAAATGTCAGCCTGGTGACTCTCCCCACCTCCTCTCTTCTCTTTCAAGGCATGCCAAGAGATCCTCGGAGGCTGATGAACAGAATGGACATGGGCTTTTGGTTCTTGGAGAACAAGCCATGTTTTTTTAGGCATTGCTTGCTCAGGGCCAACAGGAAAGGTTGGGAAGTAAGTTCAGACAATTCCACTATTTATCTATTTATCTACATGTCTTTACACACATATTTAATCTCTCTCTCTTTCTTACATTCATTCATTGTCTCTCTCTCTCATACACACGCACAAACAGCAGAGCTTGGAACCAGTGCTCCCTAGTGGGGTCAGAACACTTTGTGCTGTTGTATCCTGAGAACAATCCACTTCTGAGGGGCTGTCATGTATGCCGAGGTGGTCCTGGTGTTGCTCACCATCCACTTAGCTTCCTCTGGACAGCAAACTTAGCAGGAGGCACACAGTCATCTATTTGTAGTTGTCCCCACTCTGGTAGGATAGATAGAACTTTAATAAGAACTCCCTGCATACTTTATCATACATGTTATTTTCACCTGAATTATCTTTTCATTTGATGTATCCCCTCATCTATTTTAAGGGGGGGGGCTTTTATGAATGGCAACTTGGGTCCAGAGGAGGGAGGGAAATAGGAAGGGAGGCTGCATCAATGGCAGTGAGGTCTTCATATTGTAACATGGAGAACCTTTTTCTCAAACACAAGGGAAACAATTTGTCATAATTGTTTCCCTTGTGATCATGAAATCATGCAACATCTTTTCTACATTCTTCCCTTTAAAATGCAAGTTCTACAGTACTGTTAAAACTGTCATAAACAATTTATCATCCAGTTAAAAATTACTCATAAACTACATATATTTAGTGGAAATATTAACTTTGACCAGAGTTGAGCTGCCTGTGATAATCCCCAAAATGTAAACTCAGCATCTGGTACTTGTAGGGTGAAAGGTGAAAAACCAACTTCCTCTTTTTAAATGCTATCCTTTTTCCTAAATGGCATGAGAGTGCCTTTGCTCACTTTCCCTTAATTTTCCGCTTGCCCTCCTCTGAGCAGTTTCCTGGCATTTCCTCCTCCTCCTGAGGAGGGAGTTTCCGTAATGCCCAGGAGACGCTAAAGGAATTAACTCCCACTTCCTTTCCTTGAATAGCCACTGGGTACAAAGGTGGTTCTGGTGGTGGGAGTGTGCAGGAGAACCATGGAGTCTACCCAGCAATAAGTTGGTTCTGCTGAAAGCGTAAATGATGGGGGAACACTGACATCTGATAGGGGCTTGCCCCATAGTTGTCCTGCTTCAGTTTAGTATCTTGAAATTTTAATACAGTTTAAAAACGCAAATGTGATTTTCAATTATCTACCCATTATTGGACTGTATTATTCTATGGAGAATCCCCAGCATCTGGCCTGCATCGAAGAGATAATAAGAGGGAAGGTGGAGTTTTAGGAAGGCGATCTGAAGTCCTTGGAGATCCTTCCAAGATTTTGCCTTGCCTAGCCTGGGACTGTTGCTGGCAAATCCTAGTCTGAAATAGGCAAGAAGGCAAGGGAAACTAAGCTGGCAGTATGGCAAGCATCCAGCCCCTCACCAGATAAACCCAGGATAAAAAAGGGCTGGGCATCCCACAGAGGATCCAGAGGTCAACTGGGAGTTAGGCCTGAAGTCAGTCCTGGCAGTGTCGGCACGGACTGGCTGGGATAGCAACGGAATGTGTAGCCAGGGAGGAGCAGGTGAATCGGGAAGCAGGACCCAAGTGGAAGGCTGAATTTGACGGGCCACATCCTGCCTCCCTTAGCCTTTGGCCACTGAGAGAAGCATTCCAGAAAATGGGAAGGAGGGAGTGGAAGAAAAGTAGATTAAACCTGGTCTTGAAGTCTAAGTCTTCTGTGATCAGAGTAAGATGGGCAAGCTTTCTGTGTGTGTCATTATATGATTTTATTTGCTTACTATCCTGACACTATCAATATCCCCAAGACTGTATAACATGAAAGAAAACTGCCCCTCCGTCTGTGCAGTCCTTATCTGCAAAAGAATCTGCTGCCAAAGGGGAAACCATCAGAACCATCAATTAGCTTCCTCCCTAATGATTTAGCATTACAGGTAATTGAAAATGTGTTGGCAGCATTCCATTTCCATTTTAAAATGGTGAAATCCCTCACAAACACAACTGGTTCACCTTGGGCACAGGAACAGGTTTGTGAAACTAGTTTTATGACATGGACATGACTTGCGCTCCAACCGCAGAACATCCCCTTGGGGGAAGGGGAACATGGATTCTCTTGTTCTGAAGAGATGTTTCCCTGATGGCTGCCTGTAGGCAGATCTTGTAGGAAGAACTGCAAACGCTTTTATTAGTGCACCACAAAAGCTGTGGTCAGAGCTGTAGCTATGCAGGGCATGGCTGTTCAGCCCCCCAAGTGACTCTTGGTCACAGTACAGAGAACAGAAACCAGGGCTGTCCTCCTCCTCCTCCTGTGGGATCTGATTCTGCTCAGTTATGTCTGTGTTAAAGAGCCTCTGCCTCCCCCCGCCGCTCCCCATGGCCCAGGAAGAAAGGGTCCCTGCTGCAGGCAGTTCTGTGATGTGGGCCACAGATGAGCAGCAGAGCACACAGGCCATCTGGCTCACCAGAGGTTTGGTTAGGGAAACCTGAGGGCTTCACTTTGGGAGTTCTCCCCAGTACCTCCTTTTAGAACAGAGAGCACCCCCAATTCGCTTCAACCCTCTTGATGACTCCTGGTTGCAGATGATAGCTTCCTCTCCCAGTGAGTCCCAAAAGCTTTGCCCCTCGACCTGGGGCATCCTAAGCTCTTTCCCTGCACATATTCTGCTCCCAAATGTGATAAAGAGGAAGACAAATACCAAATGGCAGCCCCGGCAGGGGCGCTGCTACCTTTGGACGCAGGGCTGAAAGGGTGCCTGGCATGGCATTCCATGTGGTCAACCAGCAGGTGCCCAGCTTTCCCCCCAGCCCAACTAGTTGCCACTTTGAAGAATCATTTTAACTTTCCTTTCACTTTTGGTTCTTGTCCTTCTGCCCACATTTCCTCCGAAAGCATAGCAATGCTGCTCCCAAGGGTAGCCAGCCGGTGATGGAGACGAACAACAGAAGTTGGTAACAAATGACAGTCGAATGCTTTCCAGCTACGGAAGGAGCACCAGCGGGGAATGTCGCCAGCGCGCCTGCACGAATGAGCTTTTGGAACCACCGATTCTGTGCAGCCGTTAAGCCTGTTCCTGGCAAGGGGAAAACCACCCCTGCCTGCCCGCCTGCCCTTATTGCCACGCCCCGGGAGGGACCGAGCGCTGCGCCCTGCAAAGGCTGCCTGCCAGCAGCTCTCGGAGGCCCTCTGGGGGACGCAGCCCCTCTGGCACGGCAGGCCAAGGGATGCTTCAGGCAACGCTCCTCCCGAGCGTTTAAGGTCAGCAGCAACAGGTCGGAGGCCGCCCCCCCCCCCTCCCCAGCATCCCACAGACCCCCGACCGCGCAGACCGCTCCCTCTGCCCGCCGCCTCCGGGCGCCTGGATCTCGCCGCCTGCCCGACGTGTTGAGCAAGGGACAGGAGGGGCCGCGAAAGGCCCGCCGGAGCCACTCCCTCCCCCGGCCCAGAGCCCTGGGAGGCGCCGCGACTCGCCAGCCCACCCGGAGGGGGCCGCGGGAATCCCGCTCGGCTCAGAAAGGCCGGCTTGTCCTTAGGGAGCGTCCCCCGCCCCCGGCTGCTCTCGCAGGGCCCAGCAGGGGGAACCGGCGCAGGGAAGCGGCCGCCCCATCAGGGCTCCGGGCGGCCTCGGGGGAGCCTCGGCCCGTCTGCGGCGCCTCTCGCGGCCGGCAGGGGCGGATTCGGGCGCTCACTGCGCTTGCGCCGCAGAGGACGCCCGAGGCACTCTGGGATATGTGGTCCTGTGGGGGGAGGCGCGCGGCGCGGGTGAGTCACGTCGGCGGGAATGGCTACGGTGGCCGCGGCGGCGGCGGCGGAGGAAGCGGCGGAGGCGCGCAGGATGGAGCTGGAGGCGGAGGCGAACCGGTGGGCCGTCCTCTTCTACGCCCACCAGGCCTTGCGGGCCTTCCGGGCAGGCAACAGCCGGGACTTTCGGGAGCTGCGCGACGTCCTCACCGGTAGGCGTGGGGGGGCCGCCGCTCCCGCCCAGACCTCCGAGCGGGCCCCGGGGCCTCCCGCGCTTGACCGCCTCTGCTTCTCCCGCAGCCGTCCTGGCGCGGCCGGTGGCCCTGCAGGAGCCCATCCGGATCCAGCTGCGGATTATCCAGATCCTGTCCAGGCTGGAGGAAGGTGAGCCCGTCCCCGGGGCCGCTGGGCCTGGCTGGCCTGCGGCGCGACCGGGGTCTCCCTGAGGGACGGACGGACGGACGGACGGGCTGCCTGCAGGAGGGCCGCCGCCTGGGCTGCTGGTGCCGCTCCCTTCAAGCCCTCTCGCCAGCCCAGCCCAGCCCAGCCGCCGCTCCCTCCCTCCCTCCCGAAGCTCAGCGAAGGCAGCTGCAGGCGGCGGGGTCGGAGTTTGCCGAGAGGGAAGCCGGTCTGTGATTGGGAAACGGAAGCGGCAAAAGGACAACTTACTGCGATTGTTCTCCAAAAACAGGAGCCGCCGTCGTGGAGGAAGAGGGGCTATAGTAGCTTAGCAGAAGAGTGGTATGGTAAATAGTGAGGACAAGCCCTTGTGGAGGTGTTGCCTGTTCTTTCGATTACAGGATTATTCATAAAGTAATTGAAAAATGCATCTGTACTTCTAAAATGTACATTCCATTTATCCAAGCGTATGGGTGGGTATATGAATCTGCACCGAGATATCATAATTTAAAAGTAACATGCTTCTCTCCCTTTCTCTCTCTTTCTCTTCTCTCTCTTTAGATTGGGCTATTGACTCAGAAACTGAGCTCACACCTCTTGAAAGCGTCCTTGTCCTTCTGGAGAAGCTCGGAGAGGAATGCCACATCAGTGTGGAGATAACAGAGGAATTAAAGAGAAGAATAAAGGAGGCTGTAAGGATGACATTTTCATCTCCTGTCGACACTAATTTCCGTGGTGATGGTAGTCACTCCTTTTAAGCAGGATGGTGGGGCACACTGGGGAATTTGTTTTAGAAGTAATATAGTACCCTGCTAAAAAACCAACTTTTCCCCTTCCTCTTTTTTCCAATTCAAAACTGACCATTAACTATATTTACAAATGTCCCTGACTTGCTTTGAATAGATTTAATAGCCGCAGTTCTCTTGTCGCTTTGAGAAAAGACTAGGAAGGCCGGATGCACTCAAAGGATGAAAACCAAGTAGTGAAAACACAAGGGAGCAGGCCTTGGATGTTGAGAGCAGGACTCCTAAAATGGACGCAGGGGAGCTGCCATGGGCCCAATCTCCACTTAGTTTCTATCAGGGAGTTTGGAATGGGAGAAAGGGTTTAGCTGGGGGCCATGCAAAACCTTTTCAGAAAACACTTTGTTTAGAAAGCTACAAAAGGTGCGCTTGCATTTTTATTTTTATTTTTTTTGCTTCAGGCTGTTATCACCTGTATTAAGAACAAAGAATATGAACATGCCAACAAAATCTTAAGGGAACACATGTCACAGGACCCAAACTGCAAGGTGAACATTTTGGATATGTCCCGGTGACCCATCCTTCCTTTCCTCACAAAGCCAGTGGCTTTCTAGGATCTCTGTCTTCTCCCAAGGAGTAGCAGGCATTTGACTGCTATTCATGGCTATTAGGGCATTGTGGATTTGCAGTCAGCTCTCCCTTCTAGGCCTTTGCAAAGATGTGGATCTCTGTTGCTTTTCCTTGGCTAGCAAATTAAGGCTATTTTGCATCACATCATCCAAGAGAAAAACTCTTCTCATCCAGCCATCTGTCAGTTCTCCTACAAAGCTTTCCAGCAGCGGATTCTTCTCTTCTTTGAACCTCACTTGGACGATTCTGAGCCATTTCTCTTAGCGGTGAGTGTTGGTTTGGGGTCACGTTTGGCCTTAATGATTTGATCATTACTTCAATGGCCACATAATGCTACAAATACAGTAGTAGAAATCAAACCTGGTGATACAGATTTAGGAACAATAATAATGGTAAGGTTATACCAATGGCAAGATATTAAGATATATGAGAGTTTAATTTTTTTCAGTAATAGTTTTGTGTGGGAAAAGCAACTACAGCCTGTCTCTGGATTCTGTACCATATTAAGACCCCCGTGGTGACTCTTGTGCTTTTATTTAAGATGGCAAAAAAGCATTGTGATGAACGCCTGGAGTCCAAGAAGAGCCCAGCAGGAGCAGCTGGCAAGGAGAAAATGGCTGTTTCAGGGGCTGCACAAGAGGCCCCCGAGACCTCTGGGACAGCAAGTGGAGAGAGAGCAGGACAACTCAGCCAGGCCTCAAAAGCAGGAGGAAGTCTGGAGTCTGGAGCAGGAACCGGAGAAACAGCAAAATCTTTGCCAGCACTGGATGAAGGTGACATTTTGGACTGTGTGGAGGCAGCCATTGAGCCCACGAAAGCATCCCCACAGGTGGATGGAGCAACAGGGACAGAGGAGCCTGCTGCCGTGTCTGCGGCTTCCGACGACTCCACTCAGTAAGTCCCCTCTGGCATGAGAGTCCGTCTAGCAAGGGCTGCGGACTGTGAATATTAGGCAAAGGGACGTCAGAGCAACCGTATTTGTTCAGGGAACTCTGTAAATATAAGCAAACATTTAAATTGGGGAGGTCTTTTAATGGGGTGTGTGTGTGATTTAAACCATATTCGAAGTAACTTTAAAACAATGCATCAAATCTTTACAATTGAAGAGCTGCGCCTTGTCTCCTGCAACAGAGAGGAGAGAATCATGTGGCATGTAAAAGGCCGTTTCCTTAATAGCAGGATCAAAATGAACACTGCCAAACTGCATTGGGCTTTCCTCCGTCTCTGCCCTGCCTTGTAGTTGGCAATGACCAGCAGAGTAAAATCCACCCGGAAGGAAAGGAATCTGCCCTGCCTGTGTTTGGGGCTCCCATTGGTTGGGAGATGAAGGATCTTGCAGTGCAACATACCAGGAGTTGCTGTGGTGGGGGATGAATGTGATTGTGGTCCTTCTGTTACTATGTCTGCTTTGGGTCACTGTGATGCTGTCATCTGGTAGGTCTTCCAGGCTGCATGAAATGGCACTTGGGGAGTTACTCTGGCTGACAGACTATTTTTCCCAGAGAGGACTCCACAAGAAGACGTTTCCTTGATTGGATTGTTGTCTTTGTTCTCTTTCCTGGGCATTTTAATTTTCCCTGGTGAAGTAGGCACAGCAGTGGCCTCATCTAGAGAGGCCTCCTTGCCCATGAGCTGGATAGAAATTGGCAGAGTTTCCAAATATGCTTCTGAGGTTGCTGTGTTTTGTAGGGCCTCAAGCCTGAAGCCAGCTTTCTATGTGCTTTCTGTGCTGAGAGAAGCCTTCAAGAGTCTTTCTGATGCCCCAGACCCCGAGGAGGCATTCTTGCAACTGGACAAGACTGATTGGACTTATTCCACGCCACTCTTGCCTTCCAACTCTCCCAGAGCCAAGCGCCAGAAGACAGGAAACATCGCTGTCCAGGCTGTCCTTGGCCTGGAGAAGATCAGATACCATCCCTCTATAAGCAACATGCTGCTGTGGAAAGAGGGGAAACATTGCAGGCATTCCCCTGCCAGGAAGTTGATTACAAAGCCACTTGTGACTTTGCGAGTCCAGTCCTCCGAGTGCAAAGAGATCCCCCCAAGTACGCTGTACCCAGGTTCCAGGTATGGGGTGATGACTCTCTTTGGGGCTCTGTTAGGAGGGGTGACAGAGCTGCAGTCTTGGAAGTATCGGCACTGAGTGCCCATTCTTAGATGTTTGCTGAGGTGCGTCTCTGTGGCTGAAAGTATCTGATGCTGTCAGGCCCCCAGAGGGGGCTGGAGGGGCTCGCCTGTAATCGGGCTTTCTTTTCTACTTTAGGGAGGCCAAGCAAGCGGCTCTTCCTGTTCTGCAAGAAGAGAAGGAATCCTGGAGTGATGAAGACGAGATCTTTATGGACCATAGTGAGTGCATCATTGCTCTAAACTCTGCCAATAAGCCTGAAGGGGATTTTTATTCTCTCTGCTTGCATTTCTGGTGTAATGTCATGTTTTCCTGGCAAAAACCACCTGAAGACTGAGCCAGGAAAGTAGAAGCACTGGCTGCGCATGGTGGAATGGAAAAAAATTCCCAGGCAATACTTGTGCCTGTCAACCTCTGCGAGTGGTTTCCTCTCTTTTTTTCCCTTTCAGAATCAGAGTGGTCAGTTGGCACCGACACGTCTGGGGCTAAAAAAAAGGTAATGTAACCTGACTCAAGCACAGACTTTGTGAAGCAAAACAAATTGCTCATTTCTTCTCTCTAAAAATAATTAGCAATAATCGAGATAATTATTGCCACTGATAGGGCAGGAATGTGGGGAATGGCTGCTGAGGGACTGCTCTGCTACGGCTGCGACCGTTTCAAGCTTTTTCAGCCTCCCTCAGAACTGGCAAAGCTTGCATCTTCTCCATGCAGACTAAGGTTTTGTTTCAGCCAATATAAAATTAAAACTTATGGGCACATAAGAGTTCCCTGGGAATCTTTTTTTTTTTTCATTTTCTATATTTTTACTAATTTTTCTTCAGCAGAAGGAAGCTGCAAATGAGGTTTGCCATTCTTGCTTATTCATGAGGGTTTCCATTGTTTCTTTTGTAGTGGTCTTTAGAGGAGTCTGCATGGATCAAGAAAGGTGTGGAGAAGTTTGGGGAGGGGAATTGGAAAACTATTTCTCAAAATTACCCTTTTAAGGATCGCACCCCCGTGATGATCAAGGACCGCTGGAGAACAATGAAGAAACTGGGACTAAACTGAATGTGAGGGCACAATATGCCTTGAATGTATTGAGTTGGCAGTTGCTGTATCTTTAATATGTTATGTAAATAAAACGTTTGTATTGAGTAATTCGCAGTAAGGGCAGCTTTATTTTATAGCAATCAGGACATCAGTTTGCAGCAAATCAAGCATCATAAAAGAAACAACTGCATACCAACATAACCAAAGCAGAGGTAATACATGTCAAAACAGAACATGCCAATATCTATGGCACCAACATAAACGGGGCCTTCCAGCAAAAGGCGTTTGTGTGATGTGATGTGAGCGGGCAGGCTGAGCCCTGGTTAATGTGCTTGACATTCCCACAGGGTGCCCGAGGGCCCAGATGGGAGAAGTCCCTGGAGTGGCATGGGCCAGCCCCCTCTTGCTGGCTGGATTTTATCTGGTTATAGGCAGAGGATCCTCCATCAGTGAAACGGGGTTTATTCTGTCTTTAATACATATATAAAGTCGGCCATATTTTCATTCTCCCATGATCTGGCCAAAATTCCTTGGAAACATTGCTGTTGGGGAAGTGAAGTGTCCTTCAGGCCAGGGAAGTTTACATATGTACACACAGATACGTTATTTTTCTTTTTCCAAGGAAGAAGGAAGAAAGAAAAGGCAAAGATAAGCTGTTAAAAATGAGCTATATAGTGAAACAGGACACCATCTTGGCAATTTCTGCTTCTGAGCCATCCTTTGAAATCGATTAGCAGTCTTGAAGCTCCATCCACCCTGCTGATCCTTCAGCTGAGAGCCCCGTTAAGAGCCCTCCCCCACCCCACCCTCTCCCACCGCCCAGTAGCCATTTGGCCATCCTACAACCAAGGTACTTGACAAGCTGCAGGACTGCAGGTTCATCCCTTGGCCCAGGACTGGAGCTAAAGGTGCCCGTCCACTCTGGACACAGCACCCTTTGAAGGAAGGCCTTTTCACTCTGGCAGCTGCACAGCTTCCCAAGGGGTCCCTCTCGCTCCTCCCCTCTCCCGGGTTGCTCCGCCTGAGCTGGCAGGCACAGGGCAGCCAAGTGTTGGGCAGGAGCAGCTCAGGCTCAGTTAATGATTAGCTCAGCCAGCTGCAAGGTTGCAGTTCCTCCACAGAGCCCACAGCCAGCTGGCATCCGTTTGCCAACATGCTTGCCCTGTTCCAGATGGTGGGGCTCCTGGGTTTGCTTCAGGGACTGCAACTCATCCACTGTCAAGAGTGGAAGCAGCTAGGGGGGTCCCACAAGCAGCCTCTCCCCCCCACGAGGGACCGGTATGATTTTGCCATTGTCATCCCTGCAGGTAGCATTGAATGCCTCTGGCAGTTTGCACACCAAAATGGCTCCTTCTTCTTCAGCTATGAGGTGGGTGCCAGTGGGGAGGGAGGCAAAGAGGGAAGCCCCCACAATTGACCTGTGAACAGGAACAGTCCCTCCTGGCAGCCCCCAGTGTGAGCAGCAGAAAAGCTCTGAATTCTTCCAGCTAGATTCTGCCCAACATGTCTCCCTTCCCCAGTGGATTCCAGGGACCTAGCCACCCTGGGAGGGGAGGGTCCCTTGTACACCTGACTCTTCTTCCCCAGGCAAAGCAGGGGGGGGGGAATCATGCAGAGATTCCTGTCAACATGCCAGGAAGCAGCTGGAGCAGACCTGCCGAAGCAGAGGCCAGGGAGATGTAGGTTCAGAGCACATGGATCTCAACCCTGCCTCTTGTGCTGGCCCATCAAGGGGAGGGGAGGATTTCTTCACCACCCACCCAAAATTTTCTCCCATCATGAGGAATCCCTCCATCTGTTCCCAGCACCCCTGAGCTCTTCCCCTTGCCATACAAGTGGTGCCTCCCCACCCCCCTCACTGCAGTCCCTTGGATGCCTCTTTGCAGGCAAGAGGGACCCGCAGGGGAATTGTGATCTAAGAATCAATGCAAGGCCCCAGGAAGACCCCGGCATCCGGGCGCAACAGGGTCATTTGTCCTTCATGGTTTTACTTGGTCTCTCTTGCTTCCAGGTGCAGAGGACTTCAGGCCTTGGCCACGACAGACACATCCTGGCAACTGTGAACGATCCCAGTGGCTTCCACCTCGACACTTCCCAGGATGTGCGGGGCCAGATCAACTTCCTGACTCAGGAGACAGGTGCCTCATTGTTGACTCTGCCCCAAAGCCCCATCTTACATGAGTAAGATTCTTACATGACTCAGTTTTCTGTGGTGCCACATGGCGTAGACAGGCCACCCTCGTTTCAGCAGGACACCTTGTACAAAGACAACACTTGGGCTCATTAGTCATGGTTTAGGGAGCCAGATTCACTTCCCCACCTCCCCCAAGTACGTTGAAGCCTGAGTTTCCAGAATGCCAGCAAGCACAGGCTGGTGGAATGGCGTCTGCCAGACCTCTTCCGTAAAGGCCTATCTGGGGCTTCTATTGCAGATTCTTCCATGAAAATATCCTCCACTTGGTGGCTCCAACATACTATTTGAGCCTCATTTGGGTCCACCCTATAGCTTTTTTTAATTTTGCAGAAATCCTAGTTTATATAACCGTTTTTTAATTCTAAGGAGAGCTGAACACCAAATCCGATTCCAATCTCACCCCTTCCCCCAATTTGTTTCAGTATTTTTTGTGCTTTAGAGATAAAACTAAGAAATTGCTAGGAAAGGTTGACACCCTTGTTTCGAAGGGGAAGCAGGTTTAGCCATGGATACAGCTTTCCTTCTGCCCTTGTGGGTGGTCCATTTATTGTACATCACCTACCCAATGCAGCCGAGGGCGGGCAGCATCACAGGAGGCTTGGTGTAATTCTCCCTCCTTACAGGCTTCTACCAGCTATGCCTGAGTAATCGATACAACCATTTTGGAACTGTGCAAGTGTATCTCAACTTTGGGGTCTTCTATGAAGGCTTTGATCTAGAAACTACTGAGCTCAAGAGGACGGAACTCAATGGCACTCTGGAAGCAATTGAGGTACCTAATTTAAATGTCTGGAATGAAAGTAGCAGGTAACAACCTTCATTAGCTATTTAGAAATTCCATTATAGGGTATTCCAAACTTTTTCTCAGGGATCTGGGTCTCAAGTGTGTTTGGGTCAGAGCTTCCTTTGTGCATCAGCTTAGAAGAGATAGCACAACACTGGAGGAAGGGGAGGTGTCCTTGTCCACTAAAAGGAGTAGATGAGTGCCAGGAACTGAATATGAACTTTTTTTTCTTATCCAAAATAGAAGAGCACTAGCAAGCTGCTTATCAATGTCTTCCACATGTGGCGCTACTACAACTTTGCTCGAATGAGGTCAAGGACAGATTTCAACCTTCTCCAGTCCAACTATACCTACGTGAACTGGTGGTCAGCAGCTCAGAGTGTTTCCATTGTGCTCTCTGGCATCCTTCAGCTCCGTTTCCTCAAGAGCCTCTTTGTTATGCAGCCCAGCAACAAGCCCAGGTGCTGAAGCTTCAGTAGGATGCAATGCCAAACCCCAAAAAGGAGGAAACCCCCCCCTCATAATGAGCCTATGTTAAAATAAATACTATTTGAATTTTAAAAATACACTATGCTGTAACAAGAGTTGAGTTTATATAATCCAAATAGAACAGGAACATGCAACCAGAATTCTCCCCTTACAAATTTTCTTTGCCTTGAGATGCAATCTTTTAGGAAACACCTAAAATAAGGTGCTAATAAGGTAAAAGGAAACGAGTGCATTCATTGTGCTAAAAATAACAGAAATGGCATCTTTATTAGCTCTCAGAGCTCAACATGAGTAAAACAATGTGAATAACAACATCAAATAATTTGACTTAAGTTATAGCTTCATCCCAAAGTTTTACAAGTTGTCCAACTAAGAAACGCAGGTACTGATCACGTTAAAAATTTCTGACTGGGAAACGATTGCATTTCATGCAATCGGCACTCCTTCCAGGTTACACAAAAAGGGCATCAAATAATCCAAAGCACAGCAATTTTTAAGGTGTACGGCTGCCAGACAGCACTGGGAGGAATTCAGCCCAGTTTATTAAGTCAGTGTCTCCTCATGCCGTATGTACTCGCCTATGTCTGCTTGGTGAAATACTACAATTGCCATGGGATCCACTTTTCGACACTCCTGGGTGGTTTTCGCTGCCACCCCAAATCCCTGCAGGAAACAAGGTAAAGTAAATGATGCAACTCTTCTCTGTATCAGGATCCACCCAAATCCAAACACCTGCCACAACTCACCAGAGGAACATCAGCCATAGAATACACCACCACTCCTTGGTACTGAGCAGTGCTCTCAGTGATGCGCCCCAGACCGGACTTCAAGAGGTGGTTCCCATAAAGGAAAGATTGCTCTGCCCCAGGCTTTACCCAGACTTTGTACTGCAGGAGAGAAACAGAATAACCCTCTGAACTCTAAAGCCTCAAGAAGTGGTTCCTTGCATGATAGAATGGCCTCTTCAGGCCTCCTGCACCGAATTAAACAGTTATCACTGCTACATTTCCAGGCCTTACTGCTCTTAGATTGACCGCTGCAGTAAAAATGTTACTCATTGTCCCAAGGCAAGCCGGTTGACATTCTGGCCCTCTCCCTTCTTTTTGGAGCATGACAAACATCTCTCACATCCTTCAAGCCTCCTGCTTTGGAACAGAGAGAAATGCTTCTCAAATAAAATGAACATCGGCCCATCTTTACCTTGGCATAAGGGGCGAGGTAATCCAGGGCAGTGATATGGAGCCGGAATTTCTGGGTCTTGGTGAATTTTCCAAAACAGGTGCCTAGGGACACCAGGCTGTCCCGTGGGATATTGGTAGCTAGTTTCAGAAGTCTCTCGCTGAAAAACAAAGCAGAGTAGAGTCACCCGGGAGCTAGGGACAGGCTTCAGTGGGCCAGTCTCAAAAACTGTAGGGCAAATGGAGGGTCAGCCATTGGTTTGGGCCCGGGCTCCTCAACCTTTCTATCTGGAGGAGCCCCCGAAGGTCACAGACGCGCAAAAGCTTCGCCTCCAACCCAGGGCTGACGGTGACATACAAGGGGGAGCGCGCCCCCTCCCCTCCCCTCTTTCGCCCCACGGGCCCCGCCCACCTGAGGTAGTAGACGCGGTCCTTGTGCAGGCGGAAGCAGTAGGTGCCGTCC